GCGCGGGGGGGGTGGGGGCCGGGCGGTTTGTGGGATCCGAACCCTCGGACGGGAGCGCCGCTGTGCTTCCCAAGCGGCGCACTATCCAGTGCGCCACCGGGCCGGCCCTCTAGGAGGTTTTTTAAATAGATTCCTTGGGCATTTCAATGTAGACTGTTATGTCATCTGCAAATATGGACAGCTTTATTCCTTACTTTCTAATCTCTATGCCTTTTCTTTTTCTTGCCTTATTGCAGTATCTTAAACTTCCAGTATTATGTTAAATAAGAGTGGTGTGAAAGAAGATCTTTGCCTTTTTCCCAATCTAAGGGGCAAAGTATTCAGTGTTTCACCATTAAGTATATTGTTATCTGTAGGTTTTTTGTAAATGCTCTTTATCAAGTTGAGGAAGTTCCCCTCCGTTCTTAGTTTGATGAAAGTTTTTATCATAATGGATTTATCATGTTGGATTTTGTCAAATGCATCAATTGATATGATCATAAGATTTTTCTTCTTTACCTTATTTATATGATAGATTACATTGATTGATTTGTGAATATTGAACCAGCCTTGGATACATAGAATAAATTTCACTTAACTATAGTGTATAATTCTTTTTATACATTTTTATTTTTCATCTAAGTTGATAGGAGATACTGATCTGTAGTTTATTTTCTTTCGTTTCGTTTGTTTTTTGGTACTTTCTTTGTCTGGTTTTTATAACAGAATAATACTGACCTCATGAAATTAATTGGGAAATGTTCCCTCCCTTTATATTTTCTGGAAGTGACTTTAAAACTAGTGTTGTGTTCATTCTTCTTTAAATGTGTGTTAGAGGGCCGGCCCATGGCTCACTCGATAGAGTGCGGTGCTGATAACACCAAGGCCACGGGTTCGGATCCCATATAGGAATGGCCGGTTAGCTCACTGGGTGAGCGTGCTGCTGACAACAGCAAGTCAAGGGTTAAGATCCCCTTACCGGTCATCTTTTAAAAAAAAAAAAAAAAATGTTTGTTAGAATTCTCCACTGAAATCACCTGGGTCTAGAGAGTTCTTTTTTGGAGGTGTTTAAGTATACTTCAGTTACTTTAATAGAGCTATTCAGATTATCCTTTGATTTTTGACTGAGTTGTTATAGTTTGTGGTTTTTAAAGAATTGGTCTATTATAAGTTGTTTAATTAAGTTGTTCTTAATATTCTTTTATTATCCTTTCAGTGGCTACGGATCTGTTGTGATATCCTGTTTCTTGATATTGGTGATTGTGTCTTCTCTCTTTTTATGTTTGTCAGTGTTGCTAGAAGTTTATAAAGTTTATTCATTTCTTTTTGAAGAACCAGCTTTTTGTTTTATTATTTTTTTCTATTGTTTTCCTGTTTTCTGTCTTACTGATTTCTGCTCTCATCTTTATTACTTCCTTATTTCTGCTTACTTTGTGTTTAATTTGTCTTTTTCTGTTGCTTTATCTGCCACGGATTTGTCACCCCTTTACCCCTGGGTGACGGAGCCACAAAGGATTACTCAAAGCCCATCTCTTCTGAGCAGTGAGAAGCCCCAAAGTGGTTAATCTCCCAGAACCCTCAAGAGAGAGGCATTCCTTTCATTTAGGAAATTAAGCACGAATTGGGGTTCTCTTCCCACATTTATTCTCCAGACCAGGAAGTTACAGGAAGGGAACATAGGTGGGGTTATAGTTTAACAATACAGGCTGGTAACATTCAATAAAACAAGCAAAGTGACATTCTATAAGTCAATTTAAGTGATCCATCAACAAAAGCTTGATCTTAGCAAATATACCTTCTCCCTACAGCAGCTTCCCAGTATCTTTACATATCAATTAGTAACTTGTCTGTCTTTTAACCAGCAGCCTTGCTATGTTACAATTCTTTATCTTACAACAGAGACTATAGCCTAGGGAAAATTTCCTGTTTTTTGCAAGGTCAACATTTTATATGTACTTTTAAGAAGTTAAGACTAAACCTGAAAGTACAAGAAACTAGGCCCTGTGAAATATATTTGCTTTATGGTGTACTCCACATTTTTCTAGGTTCTTGAGGTCAGAATTTTGATTATTGATTTGAGTTCCTTCCTCTTTTCTAATGTAAGCTTTTACTGGTATAAAGTTTCCTCTCAACAATGCTTTTGGTATATCCCACATATATTAATACATTGTATTTTCATTTTAATTCAGTGCTATGTATTTTTTTCAGGATTTCCTCTTTGATCCTTGGATTATTTGGAAGTGTGTTCCTTAATTTCCATGTATTTAGAGACTAACTTTCTTTTTTGATTTCTGGTATGATTCCAGGTAGTCAGAGAACATAGTTGTTGATTTCAGTTCTTTTAAATTTGTGAGGTTTCCTTTATGGCCCAGGACGTGGCTCATTTTAAAATACTAGTTTTTTAAGAACCCTAGAGTCCTGCCCACTCCCTGTTACCTCAGCCTGCCTCAGCACCTCAGCTGTAGCTCACATTACTTGTCTCTCACAGGCAGAGAAAATAGGCCCAGGCAGGATGGGACAGACGGTAGGGGCAGCCTTCCTAAGAGCCCTGAGTTAGTGACAGAACTGGACCTTGAACCCCTAGAGCCTTGCCTACCCAGACCAGGAACTTGGTTCATCCTCCCCATGGAGATTTTGCTTTCCATGACCCTTCCTGTGACACGTGATGAACACACAATGAAGCTGAGGGAAAGGTGAAGTGGGGGTGGGGTCAGAAGAGTAGCCAATCAGGCCCTGTGCCCCTATACCCTCACCTCTTTCTAATGGGGTGGTAAGCGAGGAGGGGCAACTCAGATGCCTAAGAAGTTTAGGCCCAAATCTCAAAGGCAGCACGGGGCTGTTGCCCCCCTCACCCAGGTTCGCCGGACTGCCTGTTCCCGCCCTTGCAAACAGGCCAAGCGCAACACCAAGAGCAATCAGGGTGGCTGCTGCCATCGCCGCCACCAGAATACTGCATATAGGGTTGCCAGACAACTGCAGTCAGTTGACTCCTCGTCTACTTCCTGCAGGACCTACAAGAACAGTGAGGAGCTTCGGTCCCGTATTGTAGCTGGAATCATCACACCTATCCATGAGCAGTGGGACAAGGCTGATTTAAACAGTCCCCACCGGGAGTTCCCCCCTGCCACTGCCAGAGAGGTAGACCCACTTCGGATTCCCACACACCAACCACACACCAGCCGGCAGCCTCCCTGGTGAGTACAGAGCCCCCAGTGGGCAGTCCATGCTTCTGCAGAGGGATTCCAGCCAACCATTCCCATCCTGCCTCTTGTCCCCCTCTCTCACCCCCATGCATTTTCAACAAAATTGTCAAAGTCTTGGTGCATGGAGGCAGAAAGTGAAGACCTAAGTGGAGCTGTAAGTTCTTGCACTGCTACTAGTCACTCTAACTACCCAACATCTTAAGGCTGCCTGTCGCCTTTCTAGAGGTGACACAGAGCCCCTGACTCTACCCAAGGGTCAGTGCCTCTGGGGCTTGTGTGCAGTAGTCTGGGGTTTCTGACCAGATTCACAGTTATTTATTCCAGAGCTCTTTGTCTGTTCAAGGCCCTGGGCCAGGATTTTTAACAAAATGGAAAGATGCAGAAGTACTTTCTCAGAGGGGATATACTCCCAGTATTTTTCCCATTTCATTTCATGTCATTTCATTTCTTTGCAGTCTTCCTACCTATCTAACAACTTCAGGAATTTTCCAATACAGCATGGGGTATGAGCAAGTCACATCCAAGGTCTTTGCAGATTAGGATGGCAGCATTAGGACTGGAGACTTCTGCTCTGAGGGAGGAGACAAGGACCAGGGGACCCTAGTCTCTAGCTAAGACGTTACTTCCAGTTTGGAGCCCATAATGTGGTAGTAATGGTAGAGTTGGTACAGTTAGTGGGGAGAGTTGACTGTGGGGCATATAATAAGCACTCAATAAATGTTAACTACCTTTGTTATTTTATTCTCATTTACAGTTATATACCTTTGGTTAGTTAAAAATGGGAAATCAATTTAATTATTACAGGTAATAATTGGCAAGTCTATTTAGCAAAGTCTTCAAAACTACTGGGTCCTATGGAGACAGTGGAGAACAATAAAAAGTGGTTGAAAAGGTTGGGAACAGCTTGTCTGATCTAACCTCTTTATTTTATAGAAGGGAGCTAGAGGTAAGATGACTGCCTAGGGTCACCAGCCACTAATAAAGAGGCAGAGCCAGGGCTGGGCTCCAGGTGTCTTCACTCCCTGCACAGCACTCTGGCTGTGATCTAACCAGAGTATGGTGGCAGTATTTAAGAATAAGCCCAGGGTGGTGATCAAGTTGGGGAAGATTTTCAGGCCTGAAGTAAGTAGTAATTCTCAGCTCTGTTAGACCCATTGCCCATTTCAAAACAAATATTCTATGAGCTATCCTTTACTATTGAAGTGGAATTCATAGGTAATCTACCTTACCTAATGCACATTTCAAAAGAAATCAGTTATAAAGTCCTGAATACAATGTCAGTGAGAAATAAAAAGAGAGTAATTAATAAGATGATAATGTGTATTCAGTGTCTAGGTGCCTAAGCATGATTATACTGAAGAACATAGTCAGATAATTGACACCTGTATGTGAAATTATCTTGAACAGTGGCAAAAGCTGGCTTATACAGATGTGTTGTATCAGCAACTCAAATACCACAAAACTGTTGCTATTACATGACTTTTCTGAAATGATGAACAACTCTTAGGAGAATTGTGAACAAAATAGTGGTTGGACAGTGTTTCTTCGATTATATCATAATTATATTCCTGATAAAATGTGTTTGTATTAAAACAATAGGAAAATACTTTGTGTTCACATATAAAATAGTCCTAAACTCAGGTAATTTATGTAGGCTTTACACCTCCGTGAGTGTCCCTCAAGACATTCAAAAGTCGTGTGGGAAGCAAGTCATTCTTCACTGTTTGGAACTCTGCCGTGAGTTGTAGAGTATCCAGCATCTCTGTTCTCTGCTATAAATGCCAGGAGGGGCCTCAACCACTGACAAGCAAAAATACCCCAGGGCTTCCACAATGGCACCTGGAAGATGTGCCACTCTAATTGGGCATCATAGACCTGGAGTCTAGAATTGTGAAGGTAAAAACCCTAGCCTTGGAAGAACTGAAAGAATAGAAAATCACCACCATGTTGCAATTTCTGCTGAAATAATGTACCTAGTCACAAACTGTCAATAGTTGCTAAAACCATCAGGTAAATGTTTATGAGGGGCTTATAACGGATGCATCATGCCTGCTGCACCTGAACCCACTGATCAATATTAGCACTAAAAGTGGGACAGCCAGACATTAAGTGTCTTCTAATACTACGCAATTGTAAGTTTACAGCAGCGTCAATTTAGATATAACTCCCAGTTTTAAAGAAGTATGAAGGATAGAAGAATGAGTTTAACAGATACATTAGGATGCAGCAGCCAAAACTTGATCATGGAAAATTTTTAGAGGATAAATTGACTTTATTTTTCATCAAATAAATGAATGCCATGGGGGGAAAAGGGAGAAGTAGGCCGTTATTAAAAGAGTTGTATCAACTAAATACAGTATTGGGCCTTTTTTGGATCTTGATTCAAACAAACTAGTTCTAAAAATTATTTTTGAAACATTTGGGGAAATTTAAGCATGGATCAGGTATTAGATAACATTAGAAGTCACTGCTAATTTTGTTAGGTGAAATAATTAAATTCTGGTTATTTAAAAAAAAAAGAAGTCTTTATCTGTTAGAGATATATATAGAAGTATTTAAGGAGGAAACAATATGTCTAGGATTTGCTTTAAAATAATTTCAGTCCCCCAAAAGAGTAAGATGTTAGTGGAAGGGATGTAGGTGAAATAAGAATAGCAGACTGTTCATAATTATTGAAGTTGTGTGGAAGGATACATGGGGACTCGTGATACTGTTCTTACTATTTTTTGTTACATTTAAAAATTTACTTAATAATGAGTTTTTTTGTTTGTTTTTTGTCCTTTTTTTTTTTTTTGAGACCGGCCACACCGCGCTCAGCCGGTGAGTGCTGTGAGCGGGCCAGTCATCCCTATATAGGATCCGAACCCACAGCGGGAGCGCTGCTGCGCTCCCAGCGCCACACTCTCCCGAGTGCGCCACAGGCTCGGCCCAATAATGAGTTTTTTAGTAATAGCAGTTCTTCACAAAGTGTTCCAAAAAATAAAAGAGGAGACAGTACTTCCCAACTCCTTCTGTGAGGCCACGATACCCTGATACCAAAACCAAAACATCACAAGAAAACTACAGACTACTATACCTTATGAGTACAGTTATAAAAATTCTTAACAAAGTACGAACAAACCAAATCCAGCAATATAAAAAGGATTATACACCATGACCAAGTGAAATTTATTCCAAGAATGGTTGATTTAACATCCAAACATAAGTCAATGTAATACACCATATTAGTAGAACAAAGGACAAAAGCCACATGTTCATCTCAGTAGACAGAGAAATACCATTTAACAAAAAACAACACCTTTTCATGATAGAAGCCTTCAACGATAGAAGGCAAGTTTCTCAGCTCAATAAAGAGCATCTACAAAAAGCCCACAGCTAACATTCTACTTAATCGAGAAAGATGGAATGCTTTCCACTTAAAATCAGAAACAAGACAAGCATGTTTTCTTTTGCCACTTCTATACAATATTATACTTGAGATTCTAGCCAGAGCAGTCACTAAAGAAAAAGAAATGAAAGGTATCCAGGTTAGAAAGTAAGAACTAAAAGTATCTGTCTTTGCAGATGATATAAGATCCTGTATATAGAAAATCCTAAGGAGTCTTATTAAAAAATTAGAACTAATAAAAAAATTCAGTAATGTGACAGTATACAAAATCAACAAACAAAAATCAATTGTATTTCTATACATTAGCAATGAACAGCTTGACGATGGAATTAAGGAAATGATTCCATATATAAAACCCCCCCCAAAGAATATAATACTTAGGAATAAATTTAACAAAAGAGGTGCAAGATTTGGACACTGAAAACTATAAAACATTGTTGAAAGAAATTAAATAATGGAAAGACATCCTGGTTTCATGGATAGGAAAACTTTATATTGGCAGTACTTCCCAACTTGATCTACAACACAATCCCAGTGAAAATCCCAACAAAGTTTTTGTTACTGTTGTTTCGAGAAATTGGCAAACTGATCCTAAAATTCATACAGAAATGCAAGGGAACCAGAATGGCCAAAACAATCTTAAAAAGAAACAAAGTTGGAGGACTCACACTTCCCAGTTTCAAAACTTACTACAAAGTTTCGGTCATGAGGACAGTATGGTACTAGAATAAGGATAAGCATATAGAGCAAGAGAATAGACTTGCACGTGTAGAAATAAATTCATACATTCATGGTGAATTGATTTTGACGAGGGTGCCAAGACAATTCAGTGGGAAAACCACAGTCTTTTCAAATGGTACTGGGACTACTGGATATCCACAAGCAAAAGAATAAAGTTGGCCTCTTCCTCACACCATATATGAAAATTAGCTCAAAACGGATCATAGATCTAGCTCTAACTTTAAAACTCCTAGAACAAAACCAAGGAATAAGTCTGCATGACCTTGGGTTAGACTATGGTTTCTTAGATAAAACAAAGCTCAAGTGACAAGAAAAAATAGATAAATTGGACTTATCAAATTTAAAACCTTTTGTGTATGAAAGGACAGTATCAAGAAAGTGAAAAGACAACCCACAGAATGGTAGAAAGTGTTTGCAAATCAAATATCTGACAAGGGACTTGTATCCAGAATATATAAAGAAGTCTTACCACTTAGCAATAAAAGAGATCCCAATCAAAAAATGTTCAAAGGAATTGAATAGACATTTCTCCAGAGAAGATATACAGATGGTCCATCAGCACATGAAGAGATGCGAAACATCATTGGTCACTAGGGAAATGGAAATCCAAACCATGAAATGGCTTTATTCATAATAGTCAAGAAGTGGAAACGGCCTAATTGTCCATCCACTGATGAATGGATAAACAAATGCAGTATATGCATTCAGTTGAATATGTAATGGCAACAAAAAAGAATGAAATACTTATATATATGTTACAAGATGGATGAACCTTGGAAACATTATGCTAAGTAAAAGAAGCCAGTCACAAGTGCTACATATTGTATGATTTTATTTAAGTAAAATGTCCAGAATAGGCAAC